GTAATAATAATAATAATAATAATAATAATAAACAATGTTATTGCAATTAATTCCTATTACGTCCTGACGTAAGTCTAATTGTAATCATAGCCTAGTGAACACAGACAGACGTTTTTAGTGAAGTAACATAAAAAGTTTTAGCCAGATGCGGATGATTATTCTGAAAGAAGCGTGCCATGTGCCAAAGAAAGTAATTTTGAGAAAGTGTTGAGAGGAAGGAAAAGGAGCTGATTCTTATAATCTTGTAGGGATGCAACTGTTGAATTCAAACTTTCTTTCAACTTCGAAATGATGACTTTCAGGATCTACTGAATCTTGTGCTGAACACATCTCATTCAAGTCATATATTTCGAAATAAATCATAGCATTTATATATCACTAATGCCGGGAAAGAGCCTTTGCAAGATGGTCATAGAGACGGACTGGATGAATTGACATGTAAAATAGCATTGCAGTAATACCTCAAGAATAGTTGAACTACTCTATAGGTTATACTTTTGCAGAAAACATATGACTGAAGTAAATAAATTAGTGTTCTAATTGAGGACAAGAAATGATAATGCAAAGGAAAAAAGTGCTGCAGTTTCAAGCTTGATGGTTACATGAGAGTATCTATCTGGAAGCTTGTTTCAACATTCCAGTAATCAGTGCAACTTTACATTTGATTAATCAAATGTTGGAACATCCCGCACAAACGACAAAATTAGTGACAGGTGGCATCAACAACTATTTTATTAATTTGTTATAGAGAAGATTGCATAAGAGGGAGGAAAGAGGAATAAAACTAGCTGTATATTTTCTTACTATTTTCTGCTCTTAATAATTTAAACTTATTTCAGATTACGGATACTCAAGTGGTTATAACTGACCAATTCGATTACTTTGTGCATCGCTTCTAAAGAAATTAACGTATGCGAATGAAGAGAAGAAACTTTTTTTGTGGAAATCTTTGGTTTGCATTTCTGAAATTTACTTTTCAAAAAAAATTTTCGAAATTTTAAAAGAACAAATTTACGGAAAAGTCAGAACTGCAATAACTGAAGGAAGGGAAAAGTAGTTTTGAAGCCACAAGGTCAATAACAAATGTAACAATTATTTGCATTGTCAACAGTAAATCTCGTTGTGATGTACAATATTTTGATGATTTCATGAATTGGTCGCAAATTTAGTATGCCGCTTCATTTGGCTGTAATTTGGCCTGATAAACGTTGTAGAAATTATTTCACAAACACTTTGCATAGTTGAAAAAAGTTTAAAGAAAAAAAGTAGAGGAAGTAAAAAGTCGAGAAACTTTTCTGGTGAAAGTTATATTTTTCTTTGGAAAGACCTGTAATCAAAAAGTTATGTAAAAGATTATTTCTACATGAGACAACAAAATTGTTCAACAATATGAAATAAGAGACTAAGAGGGCAAAAGTTCAATGGTGAAATAAGTAATACTACAGTGAGTAGTGACATATTAACTCGGACATATGTGCTATGTTATCAAAAAACATTGATTTAGATGACAGTTTTAACAAATTATTTTTTCGAAAATATTTAGAATTAGTCTAATATGCAGTGTTATGGCTATAAATTGAAGTAGCAATATTCTGATCTTCAAATTGTGCATGGGACTGAATTACTGACTGAAAAGGTAAATGTTCCTTGTAATAATAAAAGTGAACAAAGTAAACAAAAAATACAAGAATTGGGGACGAAATCTGATGAAAAGTGGCAAAAAACCACTTTCACTTCTACACAAATAACTATGATTAGAATTTCAATATTTAATATTAGCAAAAGTAAGGAGAAGAGAGCCTTCGTTTATAATCACTTTCACATAACCAATCAAAAGTATGAGTATAGGAATAAATTATTTGAAAAGATACGAATAAAAGTAGGAAGCTCAAGCAGTAATATTAAAAATAATTTCAGTCTTTTTTTGCTAGCAAACTATT